AGAGGGCGAGAGAGAGGGAGAAAGAGGAAGAGAGAAAGGAAAGGAGGAAAAAAGGAAAGGAAAAAGACGATGCGGGAAGAAAAAGGTAGACAGAGAACCAGAAAAAAAGGAGGAAAGAGAGACCAAAAGCAGACAAGCAAGGAGGAAGGGAAACAGACTGAAAGAAGGAATGAAGAAGGGAGAGAAGGATAAATTGTTGACGATACAGGCAACAGGAACGATAACAAGAGCAAACATCCACGAGATATCGTAGCCAAAAGATCTGAAACAACTTATTACATCTAACGTCTTCCGTGATGGTTATAACAATCCGAAAGGGAGGATGGGGAGGAGAGAGGAGAGGGAAAGGGATGAGGGTGGGAGGGGAACGAGGGGTGAGTGGGGTATGTGTGCGGAAAGGGGGGGAAGGGGGAGGAGGAAGGGATAATCCCGCTTCAGCTCTATCCTCCAGATCCAAGGCGCTCCTGTGTCCATGCGGATCATCTCGCCGAAACTGCGAGAAGGGCGTGGCAAAACCCTGAAGCGCTTTTCTGCCCCATGCCACGTAGGGCGTCATCAAAGGGGGGGACATCTTCCATGGTCTTTGGAAGGCGATGGGGGGGAGGAGGGGCGAGGGGGGGTGCGATGGTTCAGAGATGAAGGTTAGTTTTAGGGACGGGGAGGGAGCTTTTCCGGGGGAAAGGGAGGGGGGAGGGGGGAGAAGGGTTCATGTGGCGAGGGATAGGGAAGGGAGTGGATGAAGTAGAGAAAGGAGAGGAAGGAGAGGAAGGAGAGAAATGCTAAAAAAGCACACGACGAAGTCTCGACTGCCGATCTATGCTTCATTGCCTCAACTCCGCGTAGCTATGCCTAGTCTAGTCCGGACACCTCCGTGCCGTGCCGAACTCAAAGAAGCGGCCGCAACAGCATGCGAGAAAGAGCGACAGGAAGCCGATAGCGCTCCCGATCAGCAGCGTGAAGCGCTTAGCAGGAAGGCGCAGAAAAACCTGCTCAGAGAGGCAAGCAACAAGTAAGGTGCTGGCTATGGCGAGATTCGGGAGTAGCATGAGGAGGAGAAAGAGCGAAAGGGCAGTACTACTAGCGCAAGGGCACGGGTGATGCGCAGCAGGTGGCGGGGCATGTGGAGGCGGACTGCATGGTGCTTGACCGGGCGTGCTTAGGTGCGGGGCTGCGAAGGTCCGATCGGAAGTACGCCGTACGGTAGGGACGTTACCACTTCCTCGAGTTCCTGCTGCTCCTCCTCCAGGTCCCAGTCGACGAAGAAGTTCATCCCGCCCACCACCAGGCTCAGTCCGCACGCATTGCAAAACCGGAACAGGCCGCGTACAACCAGTCTGTCATAAATGACTACCGCACAGTGATACGATGAATAGAGCGCCTACGTTCTACTCTAAAATAGTCATGGCACCTAGTAGAGAACAACAAACTTGTACCGGAAGCTATCATGCCTATCCATCCGTTTAGTGCCTCGATCCTACGTAGTTCTTCCGAAAAAGGAAACGAAAAAAATAAACAAGGAACAAGAACCAAACGAAGCCGAATGGACAAAGGAAAAGAGGAAAAGAAAAAAAGGAAAAGGAAAAGGAAAAGAAAAAAAGAAAAAAAGAAAAAAAGAAAAAAAACGAGGGAAAAAAGAAAAAGGAAAAAGACGGGGAAGGAAAAAGTAAAAAAGCAAAAAAGTAAAAGAGAGAGACAAAAGAAAAACGAAAAAAGAAAAAAGAAAAAAAAAGGGAGAAAGGAGGGGGAAGGGGGGCATTAAGAAAAAATGAAAAGGAACAAGAAAAAGGCTAAGAACGACACTACAAGCCCCGCGTTCTTGCCTTCGTCATGATCCGAGAGCGAGTTGCTCCCGCTGTATGCTCTCAGTTGATTCTATCGTAGAAGGGGGGTCGAATCGGCGAGGTAACGCCCTGGCCCGCTTATTTCAATTTATAGTATCAAAAAAATCAAAAAAATCAAGAAATCAAAAACAAAAACAAAAAAGCCGAAAACGTAGGGGAGGGGTCAAGGGGAAAATTCGAGAAGCTAGGACGAGAAAACGACAGGAAGGATGGAAGGGTCGATCACACTTCCATTGTTTGTGTCGAGTCATCGGGGCACAGTGTACGCCCGGTCCCGCGAACCCAGTGGTCTAGCCCAGATTCCCCTGGTTGTCATCCCTATCATTTCCATGTAAACATGTGCGCGTGTCTGAGTGTATGTGTGTGTGTATGTGTGTGTGTGTGTGTGTGTGTGTGTGTGTGTGTGTGTGTGT